ATACAAATGATTTATAAATTATAGATTGCTTTTTGATGGCAACGATTGTCTCACTTACTAATTCACAAACCATTTAATAATTGATAAACATTTTTACGGTTTATCTATGTTTTCATAGCCTATATATTATCGATGAAATCCCATATGAGATCATATGTCAAACATATATAGATTTGTTATGTAAATAGTATTGAGTCATAGAAATCATATGACTTTTTCGGACGCGTCTTACGTAATGAGCGGAAAAGACTAATGATTTTGTAATTTACCGGTGATTTGACCGACAGTACGACGACCGCAGCGACAATGAGTATGATTAACGTGAAGGGCATCAGCCGTAACATGAAGAACGTGGTGAAGAACTACTCGGACGCGCAGGTGAAGGTGCGGGAGGCCACGTCCAACGACCCGTGGGGGCCCTCGTCCACCATCATGTCGGAGATCGCGGACCTGACGTACAACGTGGTGGCCTTCTCCGAGATCATGCAAATGGTGTGGAAGCGACTGAACGATCATGGCAAGAACTGGCGCCATGTGTACAAAGCGCTGGTACTGCTCGAGTATCTCATCAAAACGGGCTCCGAAAAGGTGGCCCAACAGTGCCGCGAGAATATCTTCGCCATCCAGACGCTGAAGGACTTCCAGTACATCGAGGAGAATAAGGATCAGGGCATGAATGTGCGGGAGAAGTCCAAACTGTTGGTCGCGCTCCTCAAAGACGACGACAAACTCAAGAACGAGAGGACGCGAGCGCTGAAGGCGAAGGAGCGGTTCGCGCAATCCATGTCATACATGGGTCAGAGCGGTAGTGTGGCTGAAGGGCTGTCCAAATCGTCGTCCAGCTATCACGAGTCGCTCTCATCGCCGGGCGACCCGGCGTTGAGCGCCGCCTCCCGAGCCGCGGCCTTAGCCTCGGAGTTGGAGAACGCGAGGCCGCAGACGCTCGGCGAAGAGGAACTACAGCTGCAGTTGGCGTTAGCCATGAGTAAGGAGGAGGCGGAACAGGAGGATAGGCTCCGCAAGAACGACGACCTGCGGCTACAACTGGCCCTCACAGAAAGCGAGAAGAATAAGGCGTTGAGAGCGGCGGAGGAGAAGCGGTCGGCCGTCGACGAGCTGTTGAGTCTGAACATCGGGCCGAGCGTACCGACCGACCCGTGGGGTCAGCCCCTCAACAATAACGGCCTGAAAACGAGTCCCATGTTTGGCGGCAACGGTATGATAGCGTCGCCGCCCCATCCGACCGACAAAGTATCGAAAGACCCGTGGAGTTCACCGCCGCCTCAAGCCCTCAGCGCTCCACTCATCGACAACAAAGCCGGGGGCGACCCCTGGGGCCCAGCACTTAACAACCACTCGTCGCGACCCATGTCCGCACAGAACGACCCCTGGAGTACTAGTCTCACAACGTCGCCCACAAATATGGATCCCTGGGGTTCGAGTGATATGACGAGTCCGGGTATGTGTGACATTGAATTGCATT